AGATTTCAAATTCTTACCATTTTATTACTGTATTTAAATATTAAATGCTGTTTTGGCGCTGTTTAATGTGGAGTGACATCGCTGTAGCGCCTCGGTTAGAAGCGACAGCGCGAACTGATCATCTCCTCCGCTTTAATAGCAGTTACAACATGAAATAAACATGAATGAACATCCAAAGGTATGATAAATGAAAGAGTACAACTTACCGAAATCCGTATCCTGTCTAATGTAATCACTCAATCAGTGTTTCAAACACGGAAAGATGACAATATCTTGTAAACAATGTCATGTAATGTCACATTTAACACAGAAAAACATATTCGGTGACCATGAACTCATTAGTCATCTAGAAAAATGAACTCTAGAGAGGAGCATTTTGCTAAATATGCACCATATATTCATTATAACTGTTCTTCAAGGTTTAATTTGTTTGAATAAATCCGTCAAGTTTTTGTGACAACCAAGTTTTTTTTTAATGTTTATATAAAAAAAAAAAACTAATTGGAGTAGAAATACAGTTATGCAATTTAAAGTTAGTATTATAACTTTAATATTACAAAAACTGAGTATATTTTAAGTGTTGGTATACAAATCATTAAATTTCAACCTTCCATATTATTGACACTCAGGTATATTTTACAGCATTAGTTGAGAGAGTATTTTTTTTTTCCATGAGAAAATTTGCTATGGCCTGTACCTGATATATCCAAAATAGGCTAATCGATACTGAATCGAATCGAAATCCGAATAGAATCGCAAGCTTGTGAAGGATAATCGAATCGAGTTGTGAAATTTGTCAAAACCCAGCCCTAAAAAGTGTTTGAGGTCATAACATAGTACTGCGCAAGTAGCTGCACGAAAAAAAAGATTTTATTATTTATATAAATGGGTATTTATAATCTACCCTTGTAATCAGGGAATACAATTTATTTATTTTTATTTATTTATTTATTTTTTTATTGCCACTAGTATTCATTTCAAATGAATATGAATTACCTACACATTAGACTTGTGCCGGTATTCGGTAATGCGATATATCACGGTAATGAGTATGCACGATATTGTTATCGTGGGCTCTTCTAAATACCGTGAATAATTATATATTACAAATTATTCAGAATTTTGAATGCATTTTAAGAATACTTTTCCCATCAACTGGTCAAAACGCACAACACTGCTGTATGCTGCGTGAAAGACGCATGCGCACTCTGATGTAAATAAGCGCGGACGAGAAGCACATGGCGGAACATGTGAGAGACGCTCTGGATGAAAGCGCACTTTCACTCTCTGACAGCAGATGGCGCTAAACTGCAGAAATAATAATAATAATAATAATAATAA